AAATGTAGGTTCCTAAGTACTGCTGGAAGAACGCCTATTAAATTTTTATCAGTCGTTACCCATGAAGTTCTTTTATACTCCGATTTTGAGACTTTAAATTAAATAAACATGGTGTTCGGGCAATCACAACAATTATTACCCCGAGGAAACTACATCGATCTGAAAACACCGTTGTAAACCGCAAGCAGAAACAACACGCTTTTATCTTTTAATGGATAGAGACAGTAATGTATTACGTGTAAAGACTTTAGTAGTTTCCCTGCAAAGCTATTAATGATGAAAATAAATTGTAGATGTATATTATTGTAAAAGATAAACACATCAGACGAAAGGTAAATTGATGATATCTTATTAAAACCAAAATATGATTCTCCATACAAATCATCCAAGCTATAGATATAACTTGACACTATAATTATACATATTTATATGGAATACCATATATATGCGTTATATGGTATTCCATATAAATAATAGTCCGTTTCTTCATTCATTTCAGTTGCGACTGTGGACAAAGAACAGAAGCATCAAAAGTAATCTCGGCTTCATCTGTCCAGGAGTAAATATCAACCGCAATTTTGACGTGCAATGGGGAGTTTCTGACTCAAGTTCCAGTCCCTGTAGCCATATGTATGCGGGAGTAGAAGCATTTTCAGAAATCGAGACACAGCTAATCAAGCACTTGATAGAAAAGTACAGTGGACGAATACGTTTATATTTATCCTTACAGAATAACGGAGGTTTCGTATCATATCCTTGGCAGTATGAAAGAGCCGCCAGTGGTATGTTCAGACAACATCATTTATTAGGGATGGACATGGTAGCAGCTATGAACGAGTCTTATTCCTTAAATGTGGGTTGGTATGCATTAGGTGACAGGGCTTCTGGTACAGGAGCTGATTATGCCCAAATGAATGGTGTGGTATATTCTTTGAACATCGATGCGGTACAAAGAGGAGATGATGGTGTCAATATACCTGAAAATGAGATTGTTGGTGTGATCGAAGATATTTGGAGAGCTGTTGAAGTTGCCGTCAATGATGTTTTAAACTAAATGTTACATTATTGTTAGCATAGCCATTACAAATAAAGAAAGGTTAATTAACCAAATTGATTGTTCGATTATAACAAGTCCTCGGATGCGTTCGAAAGATTATCCTTAGCTGGGAAAAATGTAATAGAATTCTGAAGTAATTTAGAACAATCTTATTCCCCTTGAATGATTAAATAAAAAGGTGAGAATAACAATTCCAAAGGATAAGAAAATTTAATAATTTTACATAAACTTGACGCGATTTGATTCAATATTATGCTAAAATAGTCTCTTGGATTTTTGTGACTATATTAAAATGAATTGCAGTATCAAATTGGAAATTGATTCAGGCAGTTCTTGTGAAAAGTTGAGATTTAATTTAGCAGCCTAACTTGGCTTTTTGTTTCACGCCATGTTGCGGAATTTTAAGAACCAATTTTAAAATATGCTTTATACTGATAACTGAATTTGTATTAGCATAAAGAAAAGAAAAGTTGCATGCATTTGATTTTCCAAACAAACCAACGTTTTGGACTCTTTACAGATCCTATGGTCAAGCTTGACTTGGCTAAGATCTGAAAAACAAAGATTCATTCCTAATGTATAGCAATATTTTCTACTTTAATTCATCTAGTAAAAGAAACGCGCCCTGGAGGCTGGTAGTGTTACTCCCTAGAACGGCAAAGTTTTTTATATGGTAGAAGTAGCCGCTTCTTGTCACCGCGTTGCTTTAACGATTTGAAACGAAAATATCTTAACGAGGGATTACCTGGCCCCTAAAACCAAAGTCCTTTCTTTAATTTCAGAAGTCAACTATTCTCACCACCAAATACGCCACCTAGCGTAACATTCTCATATTTTAATTATGGTCATTTTAGGGATATAAGCAATGGACTTAAAAAAATTAAATTAAAACTTTAATAACCCCTGATACATAACAGTGTTACTCCAAGTAGTCAATAAAGTCAACGAGCCAAAACATGATAGTTTTACTGTAAGAGTGGATTAATGTTCTCATATTATTGTAATGTCGTCGGGTTTATATAGAATATCAAATTGAAGTCGATCGGACAAAGAGAAATGAAATAATTATTTATGTCTTACTGAGATTTCTATTTAACTAACTGAGAAAAGAGCTGATGATCTTGAGCTGAAGAGCTGATGAGTACAGCTGACATGTTCATCAAACATAGCTAAAAACCATCCCGATTAATGATAATAATAATAATAAATTGTTAATTTATCTCAACACATCAATAAATAAATAAGCAACTTTACACAGAATTTAATAACAGAAAATCATCGAGTGTATTACCAGAAATAGAAACGTAATAATGGCCATCCTGGCCCCTCTGGCAACCCTGGCAACTCATTTGGCAAATGGGCCTTATATCATTTTTAAATATCAACTCTCGTTTGCACTGAAATCACGACGAAAGCTGAAATAGTACAGCGCCAACAACCGACCTGTGTGTACGTCTCCGTATATTCCAAAAATATTCTGTATTTATTGTAATAAAGATAATATCTCTAACAATGCCGTGCTGTTCTATTCGGTGGTGTGGGAAAAACTGCAAAACATCTAATTACTAAACAAACGGAATCATATTTAAGTAATTAAATATTAAATGTGTAATTTTTAATTTTCATTGTCCATTATAGCAAAGTCGATCTGGCCAATCGGAGCGCAATTGTCACCGTAATGATTTAGCAGAAGAGTTTTCAAACAAATAAAATAACATTTCGTCTCTATTTCTGGTTGTATACTCTATGCAGACAATAGTGGTGGGAGATAGAAAGGCCTGTGGCTCAGCACAATGGCAGAGTGTTTCTTAGCGTCGCTCATATCTACTACATCTACTACAGCCTGTCATGGTCAAAAAGAGAGAAGAACTACCACAGCTATCATTCAAGTTTTAAAATTAATGGCAGGTTATGAAATATTTGGCACTTAGCACAAAATCAGATATTGGTATTATACACAGAGCACGTACAATTACACTGCAATGCCTATCTCCAAGGTTTGCCTAGACAATAACCTGTTGAAACGTTTCTTACGGAATTATATTATCCTTCAAATAAAAAAAGCCGTTTTATGATCATTCCATCCGTTTGGAGCTAATATACACAGATACATCGACAAAGGCTTCAAACGTGTAATTCCCCTCTTTATGCGCCGGGGGTTAAAAATCTTTTACGGTTTTATTATTCGCATTGTTAAAATTATCTATCTCCCATAATCTTTACGCACCACTGGATTAAATGACTGAGTTTCGTGTTAAAGAACGATCTGTAGTCTTCTGATATAGTCCATTTTCGTAACAAACCAGAACTTTGATAAAGGTATTATTTATAATACATTTGTGTGTTTCACTAACACAGGTATAACGTATAGGAAATATATAAATATCAATTTTAGTATTTCCTCTACATAATAATTATTTTTAGGTCTGACGTATTTCCCGACGTGTCTTGACTCGAGAGCTAGCATTCTTCGAAACTAAAAATGCGGTTGTATCCAAGCAGTATCGATAGTTTTATCGAAATAATGTGTCAATACAACTTGTCTCAAATATGTTCAATGACATACATTACATTACGTATAGAGAAACATTGACACGTATTAATGAACTTTTCTTCGAACTAAACGGGGTAGAAAATTGTGACGTAACTCATTGAAGTTTGAAGATTTTTGCTTCCGAAAGTTGAAAGACGAACAAAGAGCCGGAACTTATTTATTTATTGTTACAGCGTCGCGAAAATAAAAACTTTACACAAATTAATTGAGATTTTTCACGTTTATTTTTTACTGTTTATCCGAAGGAAGGGATTTCCAAAAAATCTCTTTGTTGGCCATAATAAATACTCGTTTGCAAATTCGGTCCCCGATTTTAATATTTATGTCGCGATGACGACGTAAGTGATCGCAGACGTGACTGGAATCAGGACTGGAACATTGTACTGAACGAGGTGATTTGTGAAACAATTTCGTAAGGGGGTAAGTATTTCCTGAGAGGAACAAAATGCTAATAATATAGGTGGTAGAACATGATCTCTTATTACGTAAGATTGTACAGTTTGTAGTCGTTATTTTAGTAACATAGTGGAAGCCATTTCAACTTAGTCTTCTTGTTATCGTACCGATGACATACGCTATAGTAATATGGTCCAAAAATTATTGTCATTGTCCACGTCACTAGTAGCAGCTGCTATGCTGAAATGTGGGATAATGTTTGCCATAGTGATGAAAGGATTTGTCAGTAGACGTAGCGTGTTCGCCGACTGTTGCCCAGGCTGTATCAGATATACAGAGGACATGAGAAGTATGCCATTGAAAGGGGGCTCTAAATATAATCAATGTGCATATTCTTAACTTAATAATTTGATACAGATTATTCATAGAAAATGAAACTGTTTATCCGGATTTAAATCGCGTATATTTGTTTTTGTTTGATACAACAAATATACGAAAAATGTTTCATTTCCTATGTGTAACAATCGCGAAAAACAAAGATTTGTTCACCAGGATATATTTGTAATACTACAACAATTGGTCATCATCTCTTTAGCAATTGAAAACAGTAAAACAATCAAAAGTAAGGTTAAGAATGAAGTAGGAATAAGACATTCTAAGAAACATTATCGAAATTTCAATGTACTGAAATTTTCTAAATAATTAAATATCTGTTTAATAACGATGTGAGCCAAAAGCGAAACTGGCATGATTTCTTTGCGTTACCAGAAAGAACGTCACTAAATTTAAATTTTTATTTGTTAGTAGTAATAATACAGTCATAGCGTGTATTGAAATTTTAAGTTCAAAATAAAACAATTAAATAATTTAGTATCGATATCCTTCCCTTTCGATCGCATCACTAATGTCCACGATTCTGCGCCGTGTCACGTCTCTCCTCGGGGCAATATTTTCCATTTGCCCCCCCTACCCCCTATACCCAACAAGAACGCGAAGGCATTCGGCAAATTCTCCTTATTACCTGCACTGAAAAAACAACGGATTTTCACGTCTCTTCGGAAGAAGTAAGAAGTAATTGATTTTCGATTTCGGAATATTATTTATGGTAATAAAAAGAGCGTCATCCACTCAAGATCCCTTACCTGAGTCACAGAAGAAGAACAAATTTAAACATCTGACATCAGCAAGCCAACAGGGCCCTAAGTAGCGGAATTGTATCGCCACAAATCTCAAAATTAGACCTTGAAATAAAGGGCCGCTAAGAAAAATAAAAAAATAATCCATTTAAAACATATTTCCTGATTTTGATATTACAAAATAAGTGATCGTATTTATTAGACGTAAAGAACATAAACGCGGTTGAGCAGAAAAAAACGACCTCAACACGTTATTCATGTTACGGCACTTATTAAAATAACCAGAACTTGTTGTGACTTGTGGCTAACTTAATAAAAATCACAACGAAACGGAAAAAGCCACAACTCTGTTATGATATTCGACCACTCCGCATTGTGGTTATTGTGAAACTTGTCAACGGGAAATTGCAAACACCCGACGAGTTTGTGTCCATTCTTGAATGCCATTTTGGCGTATAAACATCAGTATGCTAATTATAGCTGGTAACAATAATTTAATTAGAAAAGATAAAGAAGCGACAATGAAAAGGAATGTTTTATTTTCTTAAAAAAAATGATTACAACCTGTCCGTTGTATTGTGGTTCCGTCAGCTAACTTTCACAATACGTTATGGTTTTTGTAACAACCACAACGCGTAGTGGTCAAATTATTAGCAGTAGAGCTCCTTGTGAATGAGTTCCTCCAGGGAATTACTGCCACCTTGCCTACTTCTGCCATCGAGCAGTAATGCTCACATTATTGCGTTCCGGTTTTGAAGGGTAAGGGTGCTGGTAAAGTTACAGGTACATGGAACTTACCAACTTATGTCTCAGGATGACGCAGTGGCAGTGGCGTCTCAGATTTTTGCGGTTTAAATGTCTCAGTGGCACTGCAACTGTTATGGGTAGGTGTGCCGCTTACTACCAGGTGCACGATTTGTTGGTACTGTCGTTAGTATCATAAAAAATCACGAGAGAACTAGCGTTTAGCTATTAATGACTGCCATAACACGAATAATGTGTTGTGGATATTCTAAAAAAAACCACAACGTGTTGTGGGCGTTTTTACCGCTCAATAAGTGTTTTCGTTCATTGAGCCTAACATATCGTACAACAAATAGACGCCTTGACATCGAGTTGCGGACATTAGCCCATTACACTAAAGTACCTACAACACAGAATGGTGCCGGGTGGCTGAGGCGAAATTTTTGTGACACTCAATCGGCTCGTTGGAAAATACAGAAACCCACTAATTTTAATCAAATTACTTGATGGAATTTATCACAACACTGATAAATTCTTTACTTCAAATGGTTGCTATACTTATTGTGCCTGTAGGCCTAGAACAAGCAACAAGTAAGTAACGTTACAAGGAAACAAATTTACGATTACCTTAAACAATACCTTGTGTTGTTTATTTCAATCGCATTGTTTTTTTTTTCAGTAGTCTTAAAGTAAACATTGAGTGACAAGTATTTTATACATGAAGTTTTAACCTTAATCGATTATACTTAGAGCACAATTTAGGGTTGTTGATAGACTTTTATCGGCAACTAGTTCCATAAAGCTAAAATCTAATTAGGACAGCAATAATGTTTGTCGCGGATTTAGAAGATTTCAGTTCAATGGTCTTGCAGGAATATTTAAGTAAGTACTTAGAAAGGAAATAACTAAACAAAGTGAATAGAAAATGTACTAGTAATGTAGAAGTATTGCTGCTTTGGATGGCATTTCACTGACTATATAATTGAATATAGGGTAATTGACCAGATTTAAGTTGTTTATAAAAGATAAATCTTTTACTTCCTTTTTATCCTTACTTTAAAAAAAGATGGCTCGAGAAACATTAAGAACGGGAATAGTGTTTCAATTAGTTGATTGGCGTTCCAGACAAACTAGCAGTGCAAGGAAAATGCAGCGGTGTTCTAAATTCATTGAAAAGTTGGAGCTTTTGGATTACGCCGCATTACCATTCGGGCTTGTTGGGAAGTCGCGGAAGATGGCCTTAGTGATGTGAAAAGGGCACTATCGACTTCGGTGCCACGTATTATGTAAATAAAGGTTTTGGGGAACGAAATACTGCAAGCTATTTGAGAAAAATGCTGCTTTGTACATTTTGTTTGGGAAGAAGATGCATGAGAGGTCTATCGTAGATGGATATATTAGCGCAATGGAATAAATAGCATAAATTAATGGTATAAAGTACAAAAAGCCGGTATCTTAGGTGCAAGTGAATCTTCCTATGGATGAGTTCATGATGAATTTTGTTTTGATTTTTCTTTTTGTATGTTGATGATGATGCATATATTTTAGAGCATACGTTATAATAGTTACAAGAGTAAATAAAGAGATAAAAGTGCATTTGTGCAGTTATTTAAATACGTTTATTAGAGATATTTAAAATATTTTCATATCCTCATTGTAGTATGGTTTATTTTTCAGCTATTTGACGGTAGAATGCGGTTGCTGCTTGTCTAGCTCCAGCCTTAAGGCCTTCCCATGTTTCATATGCAGCTTGTTCAATAAAATCTGGGTCCACCAAAAATCCATTCAGACCACTTTGACCTCTGTACGATGGCAATTCATAAGTGTACGCCAACGATGCTCCGGCTAATTGTGCCCAGTCTGAAGAACCACCTGAAGCCCGATATAAGATCGCCACAATGTTACCAACTACATAATTAGGTTTCTCAGCCCACTTAACTTCGTCAATAGCTTGGGCCATTGCAACTCCGACAACATGAAGAATAAGCCCGTTAGGAGGAAGCTGTCCATTTCCAAAACCGTATAGAATCATACTGCCATGGCTGTGAATGTCAATGTACAGTGCAAGGCGGCTCATGTATGGGCGAAGAATTTCTCTAATGTTGATAGTCTCGGGTTCTGAGAAGGCACTTGGGCCGTGATAAGTATCAGAACACACGTTGCTACTTGAAGCAGTTCCCCAGAAAGCATCAAAATTTCTGTTAAGGTCGACCCCCACACAGGTGTCTCCTGGCAATAAACCAACACGACGATTTTTTCTCCAGAAGCGAGTCTGTGGAATATAACGTTTCTCAGTTTGTTACGTAAAAACGCGTGTTTAAATTCCATGATATTATATATTACGGTATAAACTATATTTCTATATAATGTATAAAATACGTACGTCAGTATGACTCCACTCGTAACCGTCGGGATTGACAATGGGCATAATGATCCAGTCGATATTGTCAACCAAGTCTCTTTCAGTAACATCGATGACGAGCTTCTCTATAGCGTACAGTGTAGACGGCAGGGTAATCCACTCACGGGCGTGAAGAAGGGATTGGAGCATTACTACAGGTTTCGTATCATTCTGAAAATTAAAAAAAAATATAGATTAGACCTAACATTCATTCAATAAAATGTTGTATTGCGATTTAAATTACCTGAAAATGACTGGTGGAAATTTTTAGGTATTTAATATCACGTCCTTGGACACTTCTTCCAGCGGATTCAACTCTGACATAGTGTGGGAATCGGGTACCCAATTCTTCGAGATATGCATCGACCTGAAACAACATCAGATTGCTGTGATTTATATAATTTCAAATAATTAAAAATGCAACACTAGTAATATCTGTCTTAAATCAGATGACATTAAGAACTTTGGAAAATTTATTATATTATTGGAATAATCTCCCACAGTACTCACTACTTCATATCTGTGAATAGTCTCAAAATCGAGACCAAAGGTAGATCTCTCGTTTTTTTGTTTTGCAGCGGCAGCCAACCTTTCTTCTTCTAATTCCAAACTCCTATAAAAAATAATTTTATTATTTACTTTATTTGTAACAACGATCACGATGCGATATATATTTATTTTCGACAGACATTTCATAGTGTTCAAGGTTTGCTTACATGATTTATGAGAAGTTAATACTACTAACTATACATCTGAAGAAGTTTTATTGAAAATGTAGTGCGATTGAGTATAATTAAAAATAAAATATTTAATAAAGTCTTGTATGTGTTGATAGGTTATTTTCTACTGATTCCAAGATACTAGAAAAAAAAAAAATTCCGGCTTTCATAAAAACAATTAAATAAATAAAATAAAAAGATGTTTATTTCTCCACAAAACTTAAAGAACACAATACTTAAAAATAGAATAGAAAAAAAAAACAATTGAGTGATGTGGACAAAAAGGTTAAAGACTCAGCATTGCTGATTTTCAGTCTTCACCTGGCTAGCTGTTCGCTTTCTGCACCAAGCTAATATGAGTTCTAATTTAAGCTAATAGGAGTGTACACTAAGTAATAACCTGCCTTTAGTAAAAACTAGTAATAAGTTGAAATTTAATGGCTGTCCAATATTTTTCATACATTTAACCAAAAATTTAAAATTTTGTGCTGCTAGGAGTTTTAATTGGGGACCAGTTGTTACTAGATTTTTGTACAGATAGGAGCCATTGCTTACATCGGTTTTTAAAAGTAAACAACGTTTTAGCGGTTTTTACTGGAGATGGAAGGTCATTCCAGCACTTACTCGCTGCGAAACGAAAGCTGCCCCTGTACAAAGTTAAACGAGGGAGAGTCAATAACTGAAGATGCGGGTACCGCATATATCAGACATTACGACTGTGTAACTGATCACTCCAGTTGAGTTTTTGGGCCAGATACTTAGGAGTTGACCCCTCAAGGTATACACCAGACCGTTTAATTTTAAAATATATCTATTTCTCATATTTAATAAATTATAGGTATTTAAAAAGGGTGTAATATGAGATCAGGGTGGTACCTTGAAACAATACCTAATGCAGACGTTCTGAACCTTCTGAATTTTATCGGCAGTTTTTTTTTGTAAGACGTGGCCAATATACCACATCTAAGTAATCCAATATTGATAATACTAGCGAATTTGTTAACCTCACCCTAACAACTTCACTGATGAATGGCCTTAATTTGTAAAAGTGCTTCAACGAAGCGTAACATTTCCCTATTTTGGACTCAACATGTTTTTCAAAACTTAGTGAACCATCAAGCAACAGACCTAGGTTCCTAACTGTAGGAGCCTCAATGATCCGCTCACCTTTTACCATCACCACGGGATTAGCTGTTCTAAGTATCTCTATTTGTTTACGAGTACCCAATATAGTATAAGAACATTTTTAAGCATTAAGGAGAAGATGGTTTTTATGCGACCATTGCACTATCTTATCGAGATCCTGATTGAGTAAATTGACGGCACAATCAATAGCAGTTCTAGACAAATCCGCATGAAATTGTGAGTCTTCTGCGTACATATGAACAGATCCAAATGTAATATATTTATGGAGATCAGAAGTATAAATTGAATAAAGAGTCGGGCCCAGAATTGTACCTTGAACCACCCCTCTATTTACTTCCATCGAAGTAGATAAGATCTTCCTACCATTTAGATCTATACCCTCTGTTACCTGAGCTCACTTATTGAAGTAGCTCTCAAATCAAGAGCAAGCCACACTGTCACAACCATAATATTTTAGTTTGCTGACTAATATATGTCTCAAATACTAACTGATACTAGTATTTGATTATACTAATATATGTCTGAAATACTGACTAATATATGTCTGTTTATACAATCAAAAGCACGGCTATAATCCAACAGAACAAGAACAGATGCACGATTTTCATTTGCAGCCGCTAATATATCGTCGACAACATGCAACAAAGCAGTGGTGGTCGAAGGACCAGTATTAATGAAAGATTTGTTAACGATATTAGGACCACTCAAATGAGCAGGTAATGTGGACTGATTTTTATTTCCCAGTACCCGATTCACTTCCTTCTACATTTGTCGAGGATTTTTGATGGAACATTTAATTCTATTGGAAAAATAAAATTGCTTCTCATTTTTTGTTATGCTGTTCACCATATTGCACAAAGATTTATATTGTTGTCTATCAGCTTCATTATTAGATTTTTTAGCACGTTTGCAAGCTTTGTCCCTATCCAACATCATTGCTTTCACACTATCTGTTATCCACGGCGAAGGGGGTGACTTAAATACCTTCGTTCTTTCTGGTACAAAATGGTCGAATAGACCCAGTATCAAGGAACGAAAGCATTGTACCATACCATCAACATTTTCGTGTGTCATCACAAGATCCCAAGGAGTTTTAGACGATGCAAACTGATACGTGTTTATGTCAAATTGTTTGAAGGGCCTATAAGTTACAGTCCTGATAGGGTGATTAGGAACCTTCATGGGAAACTGCGCCAGTACAAATGCATGATCGCTCAAGTCATCGTTATGAAAAATCGAACAATATTTAGGCTTTACAGTACGACTACAGCAAATCACATCAGGGGTTGGGTGTCCGTGAAGTAGATGTAATTCTTGTAGCGTCAACCACCACCTGTTGTAGGTAAAAATTATCTAGTAACTTAAGAAATATGAGCTAAGTTGTTTTCCCCCTTTATTCAACAAGTTTGTATTTACATCGCCAACAAGAAAAACATAATCAAATTTTGGGGTAATGATTGACAGAGCATCAGTCAAATAGTTCAGGAAATTATCAAAATTATATTTTGGTGGACGGTACACAACACCAACTGCCAATTTGTATTTATTAAATTTGAATTGATACCACAATCGCTCAAGGTTGCTTGAAGGAATTGGAATCTCTTTAATACTGAGATGATCACGTACATAGAAGCAGATGCCTCCACCCTCTCGCTTCTTGCCTGTGTTTCTCGGTCTATGAACCAAGCGATATCCCTCTATATTATAATATTTGGATTCTGACTTCTTTTTTAAGACGAGTTTCGGTCACTCCAAGTACATCCGGCTTCTGCGTCTCCATAATCTTTAAAAGCTCATCTCTGCCTGTATTTGGCGATTGAGCATTCAAATTAGCAACACTAAATTCTTTTACTTTACCTAACATTAATGTTTTTCATGTGCATTGTTATGAATATAAAAAGTTTCGTTCTAGAGAAATAAGTTTTTATATACACGGACAACCAATTGTTACAATACTTAAACAAATATATTGATATGTATTTTTCGTTAACATCATGAATTACAGCAATGCTCAAGTAGGTTATGAGATTATTGTGTAATGCACCCAAAACAAATAGTAAGAGCAATAAATAAAAGTAAAAGCAAATAAAAATAAGATATACAAGCATGGCGAAGTACAATAAAATATACAATAAGTTTAATGGTTATGATAAATATATTTACATTTGCGGTCATTTTAAATTATTCAAGCAATCAATCGACATTACTTGAACAGGAGTAGCATTCTCTGTTTTGCGCACATAAACTCGCCCATGCTTTACCCAGACATAAGCATATGATTTCTGCTTAGCAATTTTTCGAGCTTCAGCATGTAGCTTCTTGACTTAGGGTGCGTAATGTTCTACTACATAAATTTTACTTTCACTTCCACGAATGCCCAAGCATGAAGCGTTGAAAGTCTTAGATGAATGTTCTTTGTTGTAATTCTTGAATGCAGAAACTATGTTGTACCGCAAGTATTGTGATTTGGACCGTGGTAAGAATGTTCCTCGGGTGATCCTTTGACGGTACCAAGCGCGCCACCCGACGTACAATACAAATATCTTGCTCAGTTATTGATACACCCACTGCTACACAGAGATTCTTAACTAACTGAATTAGATTTTCCTGCTTAAGCTCGGGAACAGCATGAATTTCAAAATCACAACTACGAGAAGCGTTTTCTAACGTACAAAGCCGCCCACTGATTTCAATTAGCTGCCTTGTAAGGTTTGAATTTTCACTTTCAAGCGTTGTTATTAGTTTATTCGTTACTTCTAGCTTATTTTTTACATGAGTCTGCTCAGCTGCCAAAAAGTCAGTAGTACGGGTAAAATGAACTTTCAACTGATCGATCGCTTCATTAAAGTCTTTTTTATTTTTTTCGGTGATCGATTGCTCTATTTTACAAAGTTTTGTATCCAAAAGTGAGCTGAAGTCTTCAAAGAAAATTCTGTAGTCATTAGATTTATGTTTCTTTAATGGTTGCTTTAACGTTTCTTTAGTATAATTATTTTCATATTCCTCCTTTTGAGTAATTCTTCCTCGAATTGGCGTATCGTCGTTACGCGTCTGACGAGTAACATTCTGGCAACTTAAACATTTCCATGTGACTTTTAGCTGTTCACCGTGTTCTTTAAAGTCAGCCGAAGTGACATTTTGACAAGATTAATGATGTCTCCGTGTACATTGATTACATTCTAACCAATCATTATACAAAATTTTTCCTTTGCAGTCGAAACAGATCATTGCGAAAGAGTTTAAATGCTGCCTCTGGTGTGTTAGCCGTATTAGTCCAAGGTAGCGCCGCCGCTGCTAACGCTTTATACAATGATAGGCAAATTCACGTCCAAGCGATCAAGCTCTGTGGCATAACGGGGAAGTGGCCGACTCCGGCGCCGCCGACTCGGGTGCAAATCGCACCGCAAGAAGGCAAAACTTTTCAAATCAAAAATTGGTGTGCAACTCACGGAGCTCCCCAAGATGTCACCACCAGCGCAGCCGCGACAGTAAACTCCTCCCAAATGTCAACCGTCCATGTACGTCAGCACCCGGACGAGAGGTCCGACACCAGGAGCTATGGCCGCCAGCTTCTATGGCGAACTTCGCAAGATGGACAAGGAGGGTCCGAGGTCTGTAGAAATCGTGCGAGCGAAATGCCACGATAAACCGAAGATGGCCGCTGCCGTCAACGGCAGGTTCCTCAAGCGAAACAAGGAGGGTCCGATAAAATCACTCGCGAGTTAGAAAGGTTGAAATTCAAAAAAATCAAAAATATTTAAAAACAACAGCAACGCACACACCAAAACACGTCCGACTCTAACTAGGTGCAGCGAGCGAATCCCCTTATTAGAAATTAAGTAAATGCACCGTGAAAGTTGATGAAGATGTTTTCGTACTGATGTCTTAATGATTAAGTTTGAGTGCGTGACTTAATTAGTATTACAATTTGTAAATTTCGCTTCTGACATAGAAGAGCATTTTGTTATCAGATATTTTTAGATTTGGCACAAAATCTTGTCTCCTATATTTTAAGAAGTCAAAGTTGTACTTACTCTCTAATGTTTTCTGTAAGAATGGAGTACGCAACGCCAGCATCATGAAGTGCATCCAGAAATTGCTGCTTGTCTTCTTTGGAAACGAGAATCTGACCAGGTTGACCAGGCTTTGCATACGTCCAAATGTCAATTGGAATTTGGTATCCTAGTTCATTGACTAACTCTGCTTGCTGTACATCTTTCACGACAATGTTATATAGTGTATGCCTGAAAGCAAAATACAGAAATAATAGATATAACAGACAATAAAATGGTACAAAACGATTATGAAAAAGCCGAATAACACCTCTTACCCGTCATAAAATTCGTGTTTGGCCAACACAGCAAAAAAAGACAGACACAAAATAAAAATTGTTTTATACATTTTGGTACTAAGCATTTGCTTGGCCAACGAAATATAAATAAAAATTAAAGCAAACAGCCATTGTGTTATATTTAATCCAAATTTAAGGTTATCGGTTTTGGTAATTTCAAAAGATAATACTTTTATCAAAATCGGTGATTGAGTGGGAGTTAAGTCTTTAAAATCTAAAACACGTGACCTCGGCATAATAATTATGTATATTAAAAATTACGTTTAGTATCAAGATGATGTGATCCATCAATTGAACAATACTCTAAAAACGACTACTACCGATTCAGTATCTCTTATAACTAAAGCTGTATGATCATGTAGGAATCTAACTACTAATGTGTTAATTTCGAATTTATTTCAAATTAATATTGAGTCTGCAATTTTAATATTTCAGTATATTTGTATTGATGTTCAATAACTGAACATAAAAAGTTTAAAATCGTTGTTTCTGTAGTAAGTGGTAGTGAATGAGGTATCCTCTTATGTATGTATTTAATTAAAAAGATTCTCGTCTCTACATGCTACAGTGTAGCCAGAGAGAAATATTTACAAGGTAAAGGTTGAAAACCAGCAAATTGCTGAGGATTTTACCTTTTTTTCAATACAGCTTTAAATATTATAAGCGATAAATTTTTATGTATAAGTTTTTAGAGCGAGCAAAATTTATTCTTTTGTAACATAATTAATGTGTAGGGGCCAATACTACGCTATAGTATTGACGCCTAATTGGTTAAATTGATCGATGATAAAAGTATTAAGTTTATTAATAAAGTAAGAAGATACAAGGCTCGTTGAGGATGTGTATCTCTTACGTTGTTGTTACATTCAGACATATGAATGTTCGTTAAACACTCAAGATGTCTAGATGAAGTGAATGCTCGTTTGACACTAAAATTACTTGCCTACTTATGTGCCCATGCAATGTATGTAAGCCACGGACAGTAGGCCACGGACAGTAGGGCACAAAGTATAGCGCAAGGTAAGCGGAAGAAAAATGTGCGGTTGTAAACCGTGCATAATGTATGAAGCCACAAAAATCGAATTAGGTACTAAAACGTAATGGCGTTTATTACCTACGTTTAGAGATTATGTGTCATTGCTATCATAATCGTCACAAAGATATTATAGGCATTAGCTTTGAGGATTATATGTTATGAATAACGGAAAACGATTCGCGAATGAATTTATCACTAGATACATACATTATTTTTCGAACTTTGTCCTTCCTTACTGCAAAATTGTTTTCATCTTTTGAATTATTTTCAAATTTTAGCGAGTAACATTTTATAAAAACAGAATTATGCAAATTATGGAAAAACTTTATAATTTTTAAACGCAGCCTTATTAATAAAAAAAAGCACGTAAAATTTTGAACAGATTCCATAAAATAATTATTTTTAACGATACATTTTTCGTCTATTAACGTAGTATTGCTTCTTTTTCAGCCACTCGATTGTAGAATTTATTTGTTGCTTGTCTAACTCCAGCCTTAATACCTTCCCAAGTTTCATATCCAGCCTGTACAATAAAATCTGGGTCAACCAAAAATCCATTCACACCACTTTGACCTCTGTACGATGGCAATTCATAAGTGTACGATAGCGTTGCTCCAGCTATTTGTACCCAATCCGAAGAAAAACCCGAAGCTGGATATAAAACCGCAGCAAAATTGCCAACTCTGTAATTAGGTTTCTCAACCCACTTAACTTGATCAATAGCTTGGGCCATTGCAACTCCGACAACATGAAGTTCAAGGCCATTGGGAGCAAGCTCTCCGTTCCCAAAACCGTACAGAATCATACTGCCATGACTGTGAATGTCCATGTACATTTCAAGGCGGTCACTGTGTTCAAGAATAATATCTCTAATAATGGCAGTCTCAGGTTCTGAAAAGGCGCTTGTGCCATGGAACGTGTTAGAACAAACGTCGTCACTAGAGTTATTTCCCCAAAAAACGTCAAAGTTTCTGTTAGGGTCGACTCCCACACAACTGTCTCCTGGCAATAAACCATTACGACGATTTTTTCTCCAAAAGCGAGCCTGTGAAATATTGCATTTGTAAGTTTGTTACTAAAAAAAAGTGTGTTTAAATTCCACAATATTATGTTCTACATAACTATATTTCAATATAATATGTAAAATACGTACGTCAGTATGACTCCACTCATAACCGTCGGGATTGGCAATGGGCAAAATTATCCAGTCGATGTTGTCAACCAAGTCCCTTTCAGTTATATCAATGACGAGCTTCTCAATAGCGTACAGTGTAGCTGGCAGGGTAATCCACTCACGGGCGTGAAGAAGGGATTGGAGCATAATTACAGGTTTCGTATTATTCTGAAAACATAAAGCAGGGATTAGACCTAATATGCAATGAATAACATTTTGTATTGCGATTTGCATTACCTGAAAATGAGTGGTGGAAATTTTTAGATACTTAATATCACGTCCTTCGAAACTATTTCCAGCGGATTCAACCGTGACAAAGTGTGGGAATCGGATACTCAATTCTGTGAGATACGCGTCGACCTGAAATAACATCAGATTAATTTAAAGTATATCCAGAATTAAGTACAGTGTTGTGACTTATGCTACTTTGTAAATAATTAAAAATGCAACAATAGTAGTATCTGCATTAAATCAGATGTTTTTCTATTAAGCGCTTTCTGTCTATGAAGAGATTTGAAAATATATTATATTATTGGAATAATCTTCCACAGTACTCACTACTTCATATCTGTGAATAGTGTCAAAATCGAGACCAAAGGAAGATCTCTCGCTTTTTCGTTTTGCAGCAGCAGCCAACCTTTCTTTTTCCAATTCCAAACTCCTGTAAAAATAATTTAATTTATTATATTTGCCATGTTTAGTATCACAATAACCACACTGCGGTTATATTTATCTTCTAGGGACAACTCATAGTGGTTTAAGTGAAGTTAATACTACTAAATACACATATGACATAGGGAAATGTTTTTAGTACAAATTTAAGTGTGACAAAGCACAGTTAAAATTAAAATATTAATCAAGTCTTCTATATTTTGAAAGAATTTGAAGAAAAGAACTTCAAGTTCGAGTCTCTTGAAAATAATCAAGTATTCGTACTCCTGATGATGTTTTCGTACTGATATTTCATAATGATAATTTAGGTTATTTCACACGATTAGTTTTACAATAAGTAAAACATTTGTAAGCTTCGATTCTGCTAGAGAAAAATACTTCTTTATGCTAATTGTACTATTCAGCATATTTTACAATACAATAAAATAAGTATCTTTAATCATTTTTTCAATATCTTAAAAAGTCAAAGCGTTACTTACTCTCTAATATTGTCTGTAAGAATAGAGTATTCAATGTCCGCATTCTCAACTACATCCAGAAATTTCTGCTCAGTTTCTTTGGAGACAAAAACCTGACCAGGACGACCGGGCATTGCGTACATCCAAATATCAATTGGAATTTGTTTTTCTAGTCCATTGACTAGCTTTGCTTGTTCTACATCTTTCACGACGATGTTATACAATGTATGCCTGAAATTTAAATACAAGACACCTTGAATTGTCTGCGCCAATAGTTGTAACATTGTTTTGTATCATATTTGGTACAAAACAAAATTTCCAAACATGTTGAAAACCAGTCTTACCCTTCATAAATTTCGTATTTAGCCAACACAGCAAGAAAAGATAGACACAAAACAAAAACAGTATTATACATTTTGTCTAGGTAGCTCTTTGTAGGACCTACGACAGAGAACTGAAAGTGCAAGTAATCATCCTGGTTTATATTCAATACTTACTTTGGAATTATCTCCATTTTTTTACCTATACTAGATAGTTGTAATGCGTTAAATCCCTTAAAGAATACTATAAATAATAATTTTATTAAAAGCTGTAAATATTAATTAATGTTATACCTAAGTAGCCGTCTTTTAAATCTACAAACGAGGCTTTATACGTGCAAACGATAGTGCTACAAGATGCAGTGAAAAGCCTGAACTTTTCACTACATCTTGTATTTAGAAGCACGCAGAAGAGGCTTATGTCACTAGATGTCTGCTCATACTATCATATTACATCCGATTGTTGTGTAATTTATTCTGTTCCAAATGGTGTAGTACCATTTTGTGAACTTAAGTTCTCCCTTAAACTCTATAAGGATAATATTATTTATAAGCAGGCCAGAATTCAACCGTATACTTATTGCCATTTTAATTTGATTGTTGTTTTGATGTTTGCTGGCAACAGCAATCTGGACAACTTTACCTTTCACTTGTTTCGATATAGTACAAGGTGTCTCAAAAGAAATTTTATATTTGTTTAGCTTACTGCGTGAACGCAGCGTATCTGAGGGGTGCGGGGGTTATGTCAATCGGTAGCTTGGCTCTTGGGAATTCAGTCGCTATTGAGCGTTTCTCGGGAGCAGACCGCGCGTTGTGCGTGCGAGAGTTTTACAAGAACGGTGATTCGGCAACTGTCGCGCGTAGAAAATTCTGCAGTATTCGAGGTTTTCGCCACTTAAATGATGCGCCAAGCCTTCCTCTCATTCGACATTGGGTTAAAAAGTTTGAAGAGACTGGAACAACGCTGGATAAATCAAAATCAGGGCGACCTAGGTCATCAAGAACGGTAGAAAACGTGGAGAGTGTTAATCAGTCTGTTCGTGACGACCCGAACCTTTCAATTCGGAAGCGCGCGAGTGCTTTAAATGTGCATAGATCATCATTACATCGCATTATGCACAAAGATCTAAAGCTGCACCCCTACAAAATTCAATTGGTGCAAGAATTAAAGCCCCAAGATGCCAGTCAGAGGCTTAATTTCGTAAATCAGGTGATTGAGCGATTTTCAACGTTTACCAACATTTTGTTTTCGGATGAAGCTCATTTTCATCTTAATGGCCACGTAAATAAGCAAAACTGCCGCTACTGGAGTTTAACGAATCCGAAACGCAAACATCAGAAACCCCTACACTCGCCTGAAGTGACCGTATGGGCTGCCATGTCGGCGCGAGGAATTATCGGCCCTTACTTTTTTGAAGACGAAATGGGGCGTGCAGTTACAGTGAATTCAGAGCGTTATGTGGAGATGTTAGACAACTTCTTGGTACCTGAACTTCAAAACTTTCCTGGCTATAACCAAAGAACATGGTTTCAACAGGACGGAGCAACTTCACACACGTCCAATATGTCTCTGCCACGTGTTCGTGAAATTTTCTCAGGAAAATTGATCTCCCGGAGAGGTGACATAAATTGGCCTCCACGTAGCCCAGATTTAACCCCTATGGACTTTTTGCTATGGGGTTATCTTAAATCTAAAGTTTACGCCAATAAACCGACTTCACTGGCGCATTTGAAAGAAAATATCCGTCACGAAATGGCAGCCATACCTGACTCCACCTGTCGAGCAGTCACAAGTAATTTTACTGTTCGATTAAATGAGTGCCAACAACGCGAGGGTTTACATTTAGACGATATTATTTTTAAGAAATAAATTCCCAAAAAGTGTATTTTAACAATAAATAAACATTTTTTATATATACCGCTTCTTTTTTTTTTAATCAATCCACTAAATATAAAATTTCTTTTGAGACACCCTGTAGTTTTTCCCATAAGCCTTACTTTGTATTCGTAGACTTATATTTCTGTATGTCCTTAGAAATGTAAATAACTTTTTTCTAAACATGCTCGGAAATGTTTGCATTACTTTTACAAAACGAACACGGAAAGTTTGTCATTAATTAAGGACCATGCGTTTACTTGCCGGCCAAGACCTGTAAAGTGAGTATAAAATCCACTACTGCCTACTTCTCTATTAAATCTGCTTACTAATTTTCTGTTTCTTTTTTTGTTTTTTTTTTTATATAAAATAAGTTCGAAGAATGATAACGAAAAAAAACATTTATGGATACACAATAAACCACGTCGTCGGAAGCTCGGAAAACTACTATTAAATAATAATAATATAATAACGTACACACTCATAGCCCCGCACTAGGGAAACCCAGTGTCGCAGGTGCCATGGACACACACATAGACAACCACAAATTACACCCAAACTCACGAGAGAAATAAGTGTAGGTCATACAAATATTTCTCCCGGACCGGGAATCGAACCTGGGACCTCTGCGTGGCAGTCACGGCCACGGAGGCAGTTAATGACGTTAACGGAGCATTAAATGTGCCTGGAAAAATTGTGTCTAATTAATATTAGACACAATTTTTCTTTTAATTTTAATGAATATTTTTTTTAGTTTCTTTATTATACATCTTCTCTTTACTCTTCTATTATTTCCTCGCATTGTTTGAGAAAAGCGCTATTTAAACCTCGCCGGGAATGGGAACGCTTGACTCGTATTAATATACAAGGACTTGCTAGCTCGGCCTTGTAACTCATGCTCGTCCTGTAGTCCCTTAAGTACTTCCTCTGGCCTCTGCAATCATGTACTGTATTATATTCATTCGCAACATAATATATATATTATATAATTTGTTGTATAAAACGAAGAGCGTTAATAAATCATGGGAAAACATTATTTCTCTATTGGGAATCCCTGGAACGTACGTAACGTACCCTATGACTTTATTTCTAAGTTTCGTACATTTGCGAATGTTTCGTAGCAATACCTGTAGCCAATAGTGAAACCTGCATGTCGAAGAATGTTCACAATCCTTGGAAACCTGGGAAGTTACCGACTCGTGTTGGGCTAGCTTCTATGACATAAACACTATTAATGGTGATATACAGTCAGACTAGGTATTGAAGCTTACATTTTAATGAATATTATATCTGCTTCCATAGATTATGGAACGAAGGGTATTTACGTCTTTATCTGATTCTAGTTGATATATTTTCATTGGTTTGTTTAACTGATTATATTGCTTATCTGTGCATTTATCTACTCGTATATTACACGAGTGTTGTGATTTTTGACACAGATACACTGTCATCATGAGGATTTTTGTAGTAACGTTTCTTTTCTTCTCGGCGGTTTCTGCCAAACACGAACAATATGCTGGGTAAGTCAATTCAACACTTTCAGAAAAAAAATATTTAATAGTTTATATTCTTTGCTTCAGAGACATACCGTTGTAAGTCCGTTCCTTTACATTTTTTAAATTTAGTGTAATCTTCTGTATGAAATTATTTTTCCCGCATCTAAATTGCGTATATCAGTTTAAATACTTTTACACAAAGACCTGTACGAAGCGCGAAAAATTGCTTTATTAAAAAATATACACATATTTAATGCAATTATAGGTCCGAAAAAAATAATTACATTTCCAATATGTAGCAATCACGAAAACCTAAAAACACGATAGGTATTAAAATCTGTAATTATATAAAGTCTAACATAAAACCGAATCCAAGAATTGTTGCGACGTATTTTATAGTAACTTGAATGTATTAAGATGCCATACAATAAAAGGAATCATTTTGTACGCAATTGTTTAGTACAAGACGAGAAAAGGTAAGGTATTTACTAATAGAGAGTGAGAGGATAAGGAACAAAAGAGTGAAGACACAAGTTCGAGGAGTTGAAAGCATATCTTGAGGACCAGAATGAAATGTAAGTAGTATAAGTGTGCGTAAAAGAAATGCAGACGAATATGAATAAAGACAGGAGAATATGTGAAGTAGAAGAGGCTGTAAATGAGAAGAAACACGTACTATCAGCAAACTCTACTTATTACCACATTTCTGCAGCTAGCAACGGTGGCCAGTAGCGGTGATTTTCACCTTGCAAATTCTTGTCATCCAATAGCGTTTAAAGGCTAGATCATCATATTAAAAAATCATGGTCAACAAAATTAAGGAAGAAGCTAGTACAATCTCTGTTTTGAATTGTATTACACACTAGTACCACAATCTAAAGGACCTAGAAAAAAAGATCAAAGAGATGTAATTGACAAGTTATATTTAATAAGAATTGCAGTGACTGCATTGGATTACACAAATTCATTCCTATATATTCGTACATATTGTGACTCTATGAAATAATTTAATATGTATTTGCTCGCCTACATAATTATTATCCATAATATTGCGAGCTACACTCGCAACGCGATGAAGGTACTATTACCAAGACATCTCCAATCCTAGTCTAAATATCGGGATTATTAAATAGTTTCACTGCATTGATTCCCGTTTCGGAATATTACAAATTTGTCTGTTCTGGAACATCATGGTTATGGTATATCACAGTTTGTTGCTTTTGAGATACAAATAACATTCTTGAGGGACCAGATAACCTGCGACGAATTTGAAAATGGCCCCTGTAATATATTTCTTCTTTTAGTATCGATGGCATGCACTGTAAATTATAAACTTGTCATCATCGTGGTGAAAGGATTTGCCAATCGGCGTAGGGTAGACGCCGATTGATGACCAGGGTGCGCCAGATGTATAGAAAAGATAAATGGTACGTCGTGCGGGGAGACTAAAAATAAAAAAATACATATTCATCGCAATAAACAATTTATGTTTTTAGATTAATTTATGAATACGCAATTAATTGTGTTACTGAATTATCGCATGGCAAAAACTTCAGAAAATTATTATTCTTTGTGTATCTTTTGATAGTTATTATATTCCGGAAGCCTCATATAAAAATTAACCATCTTCTTCTTTATCCCTCCATTTCTTTTGGGGTCTCAATCAAAGTCGTCTTTCTCGGTTTCGGTTTCCAGTGACAGGATTTTCTTGGTTATAATGTCTGTCATCCCTACGCATTACATTACATAAAAATAACCATGAATATTTAAACGTACATCGCAGTCATTAAAGATTCAGAAAATGATTTATATTGAACTAAAGAATATTGTGTGTTGGCAGTTGGAAGTCCTACTACGTAGGGCCATCAACTACAGCAGAGTTGAAATTAGTCGGCGTCCTAAAAGCTCAATATGACTTGGACTTCATAAGCAATCCCGCTGTTGGTCGTGAGGGAGTGGTGGTGCTCAGTCCTGATCTGCAAGAACCAGTTACTAAGGCCCTGAATGATGCTGGTATCAGCCATAGAGTTCACGTTGAGGATCTAAAAACGTAAGTCTTTATATTTCCAAAAAATAACCGACACGATCTGGTGAGACTTCCGCGGTACCTTGTTAATTATATGACATTCTTTTAAGGGTCAGTAATTAGTATCTATATGCTAATATGCGAATACTGTCTACCTAAACATTTTTTACAATAATATAATCAAATGTAAAATTTTTGTACGTAAAATGTGAAAAAGGTCCAAACATTAAAAGTTCTTGGTTTACATCATAACGATATTATTGTATTAAGGTTGGCATGACGTATTGGTTTGCATAGTTTTGACAGTAATATTAATGTTACAGCACGGTTCTCCAAAATTGTGACTACACCAAAATATCTTTTAAGTTCGACAAGGTATCGTATCTTTCCAGGAATTGTTGTATCTAATGAAAACGTTAAAGAACTCAAATCAATTATTAAGCCATTGCTATTTTACTATAAGAAGATAAATTCATTAAATATACATTAGCGTTTTTATTACTATTTATTAAACGATAAATCAAAGATTAGGGTTAGATACGCGACTTAATAATATAAGAATATAAACATATCGGATTGGGATATTTGTTGCGTTGTCATTGCTTACGTGTCTTTATTTATTTTGGATGGATTTTTTATTTGATCAAGCCAAAAGCGCTGACGTAATATCCTGATCACCATCTATTTAAGAGCCAGGCTCCTGTCGGTGTAGTGTCCTCCGCTCCTCACGGCTCATAGTGAACTCCTTGACCTCGTAGCTGCTAACTTTAATGTCCGTCCTTGGCCTTTATTTATTTATTCCGCTCCATTCTTGGTCTTCCTCTCTTTATTTTTCCTTCAATAATAGTTCTCACAAATTTGACCTTCCCTATCCCTTTTTAAAGCTTTTTTATTTAATAATATCCTAATAAGCTGGTAATAATAAACATTGTACTTAACTGTTCAGAGCTTTTGACGTCGACGATGAGAACATCGAGAGACAAGCAAGAGTGACATTAGCCAGAAACGGAGGAAAACGTATGCCCTACGACAACTACCAAGAAATAGAAGTAGTAAGTACAGTTTGTTGAACGAGTATTAGACACCATAAGATAAGATTAATTACCAGTCGCATTTAGCCATATGTAAATTTAATTTTGGTTAAAACGTTAAAAATTATTTTAAAATAGTTTAACTGAGTAAATTTAATTTATAGATTGACAATTATCTCGAGGAGATAGCCGAAAAATACCCTGAAACAGTAACTTTGGTCAACCCAGCAAACTCATACGAAGGACGCCCAATCCAATACCTGAAGATTTCTACTACAAACTTTGAGGATGAGAGCAAACCTGTAATTTTTATTGATGGTGGTATTCATAGTAGAGAATGGATCAGTCCACCAACTGTTACTTGGGCTATCCATAAATTGGTTGAAAATGTGACAGAGCCAGATTTGTTGGAAAAATTCGACTTTATATTGCTGCCGGTTGTCAATCCCGATGGATACAAATTCTCATTTACTACGGTAAGCTGAACGTAATAATTAGATTTTTTTTATTGTATGTGTTCGTCCTATTTGTTGTATATTTACTTCATGAAAACGATCTTTAAAATTTTATTTATCATACTAGCATTGACATTGATGTGACTTTGACAATGATATTCTTAAAATTTTCAGACCCGTTTGTGGCGTAAGACGCGCTCAACTGACCAATCCCAAATTAGCCCAATGTGCCCAGGAGTAGACGGGAACCGCAATTTTGATTTCTTCTGGAATACCGTAGGCACTAGCTCCATTGCTTGTGCGGACAATTACGGTGGCAGCAGAGCTTTTTCGGAAATTGAGACCAGAGTCGTCAGGGATATACTCCATGAGCACCTTGAACGAACAGCTTTATACTTGACAATGCACAGCTTTGGTAGCATGATTTTGTACGCTTGGGGTCACAACGGAACTTTGTCAAACAACGCTCTCAATCTTCACATGGTAGGCGTCGGCATGGCAGAAGCTATTGACGAACTTTCCCTTCCACACTTCCCACGTTACCGTGTTGGTAACTCTTTTTTGGTACTTAATTATGGCGCTTCAGGGGCATCAGAAGATTATGCTCACGCTATTGGCATACCTCTGGCATACACTTACGAGCTGCCAGGTTTATCCATAGGCTTACAAGGCTTTATTCTGGACCCACGATATATTGAACAAGTTTGCAAAGAGACTTGGGAGGGTCTCGTAGCCGGTATAAGAATGGCAGGTGAACTTTATGATGGTGTCATTGATCCTTGATTAATGTATTATTATTTCTGGAATTAGTTAAGTACCTCCAAAATCGTTTCTAATTAGTAAAAATTGTAATCATGGAATAAGGGATGAATGAATCTTTACAATTAGTTTTATACTGTTTATTTTTTTATTAGGTGTACAAAACAGTTTATATTCACTCCTTAACAAAACCTTAATCATTATTACTAGTTCTACTCTAGAATGTAAATCTAAACATGTCCATACAGCATGACCAATCATAGAGTAAACAATTTTGTTACAATATATTAATAAAACTTTGTTGTTGAATTAAATATTTTGAATTGCATGATTTCTCGAGTGAAATTATCGACAGATCCTTTTTAAGTTGTCCCTTCACTACACGTTCGTCGCAAACGCGAATAGAATACTCTGAATTGGAAATTGATCCCGCAGTGCGCCTAACTTTCTTCCAAGAATGATGAGAAAATTCCAATTAGGGACAAACTTTAGTTTATACGCGCCGTGGACCACGGAACAGTATGTAAATCTACTGGATTATCAATGCACAACTTTGAACTAATATTGTTTTTGAAGTCTGTTTAACAAAGTTTATATCATAGAAGTTTCCAGCTTTACACACATCGTTGCAAATGGGGATTTTATAAGGGCATATAAGGTATAATTTATAAACGTAATTACAGTAAGAAATATTTTGAAAATCAATCAATCTAGTAGTGTATTTTGGCGGACTGAACTCATAATGAAGTCATACGTAAGCTGAAGGGGTATTGGGCCAGTCATGTCAGCAAGAGAGCTGATGAACAATGCAGGCTTTTCTGTACTGACGATCTTGTTAAAGTAAGTTTAGTGTAGGGTGCCCTGCGGCAAGATGGATGGACGACCTGAAGAAGGTGGCTGAAGGAGATTGGATGCAAGCGACACATGCTCCAGGGGAGGTTTTTCAATAATAATAATCCTTTATTGACAAGTATATTAAATACAAATTACAATTATACATATAAAGAAACATAACCAACAAAATAATGGTTATAAAATAAAAATAAAATATAATGCAATCCGCTTATAACATTGTAGCAATAAGACTGTCATTTCTTATTTCCATCACGTTGCACGAAAATCCAGTATTTAAAAAATGGAATTGTGTATGTGGTCACAGAGAATACGGAGAATCCTGTTGTCAGACGCACGGAGACGGCTCCAAAAGCTGACGACGCGAGACTTTATTATTGCGAAAAAATCAGGTATTCCGGCCTTGGCGAACATGCTCGATGCGTTGCTGATTCATTAGAATGCGATATGCATCGTACCGCAGTATATACTATACTCTAATACAATATCCATATAGCTATATACTGCACTCTAACGGTGCTCCACACGCGTTTCGACTACCTACTCCAGAGTTGACATCGATAGAACCATAAACAATATGCTCTAAATAAAGTCACTCTGACATCACTACTACACCGCACGACCATGTTGCACCAAATGGCTAGAACCCTACGTTCTCGTTCAGTTTTATGCCGTCATCATCAACTAGACTCTCTGTTAGCACATGTCCAGGGTATTTCAACTTATTCACCCTTTCCGCTATCGCACCATCTAAAAACACACGTGGAACGTTCGGAGGACCCCTTCCGGCCTTTAGAGAACATCAGTTGCGTCTTCAGGACATTATATTTCAAGCCGTAGTTATGAGCGTACTGCTCATACAGTGCCAGTAGCTTTTTTACGTCCAGCAGTGGATACGTATAAGCTGATATAACGACAATGAATTATAAAATGAAAAATATACAATAATTATATAATAAACAATTCATTAATATTGTTGTCATTACATTACGTATTAAATATCATCCTTCATCAAGGATCGTCATAAGTTGATAACAAATACAAGAAACAGGAGGAAATAGTGCAAAAGAGTGTCAATGCGGTATAAATTAAAATAAAACAGAAAATACTCAATAGCCTCAGGTCCATAAATTCATTTACAGAGTATAAGGTCTTTCAGCAGGAGTCTAAATGTTTCGTCAGATGGTTCAAGTCAGAGTAGCAGGTAGACGCTCACAGTAAGTAAGTCTGATGACAGGCGGGTTTTTCTCTGTAAGTGTCATACGTCGTAGTAAGTATTAGAAAATATAATGTAGATTGAATGAATTTAGAGGATTTCTTTCGTAGCAACATTCCAGAAGATTTCAAATTCAAAGATACTCGTATTAGATGGATTAAAGAGATTAATAACAATTAACTCTTTCTTGCAATCCATAACAATGCAATAAAGTGATTACCGTAAATACCTTATATTTTAATAGGACTCCTAAAAGAGAAAGTTAAAATATGAGAAGAACAACGTCTCATCAGTATTCCGCTACGCTCTCGCCCAAACAGGGTAGGGATCATTAATTCAGGCCCAAACATGTTGCTTTGTAGATTTTCACCTTGAAAATGAGGACAGCCGATATATTACGGAGATTTCTGGGAATTTTACTATGCATCAACTGGCCGTTGTACATTAATAAACAGAGACTTATTTACCTCACTATTGTACATGTAAATAAAATATAGAAGCGTCGGTTACTGCAGAAGTCGACGCTCTTCTTACGGATACCTCACGTTTTGTACTTTTGGCAGTATACCAACTTGAGTAGTTAAGGCAATTACGTACAATTTTGTAGTAGTGACACGTGTTCATCTGTGATGTTGGCTAGTAATGTAGAAAACCGGTATCAACACAGTAAAGGTGAACAAAGTTTTATACAGCACACATAAAAAATAATAGCCAATTCCAACTTATGTTTTATAAGTATACGAGAGTGGTTTGATAAGTAAATGTATCGACTTCACCTAACTTTTTCATTTCTATTCTTTCTAATTTCGCGCTAGTTTTAACCTGGATGAAAAAAAAATTTTTACGTACAGAGAAGTTGACGTCAGTTGTATTGTAAGGAATTCTAAATTAAAAAATAAAAATTGATTACGAAAAAAGTTTTTAATTAACCTTAAAATCAACCCGCCCTCGTAGTTCTTTCAAAGCTGCTGCGTGTTGTTGGGTTTCCTTGATTTTTTAACCGACTTCAAAAAAGGAGGAGGTTCTCAATTCGACTGTATGTTCTTTTTTTTTGTATGTATGTTACGCGATAACTCCGGTATTTGTGAACCGATTTTCATGATTCTTTTTTTGTTGGAAAGGGGGTACTTCCATAGTAGTCCCATTTCATTTTGAAGAAAATTATCAACCTTTAAGGGTGGCTGTTCACGCATGAAGATTCATTTTTATAAATAGCGCCTAACTTTAATTTAGGAGCAATTACTTTTAGCAATTATTTACTTGATTTTGCTATTTCTCCAATTCAAGGCGTTTTTCTCTCGATATACTTTGAGTAGTATACTTTGTCGTAGTGAGAACCTATTTTTATTATCTCCAGTATCAAGTCCTGTATAGTGGCTAACTAGGGGATATTTCAATGAAACTTAGCAAATAGACGTAATTCCACGTGCGTTTGAGGTCGATTTGTTTAGTACTCTGTACTGAGATTATGTTCTCCTTATCAGATATAACAAATGACAGCTGCTAATCGTCGCCTTACTTTCTCAAACTCGTATCTTCACATCACATTCCCTTGATACACACTGTCTTTTTTATCTATTCTTAAAGTAATACATCCAAATTAACTTGATAAGAATTTTAAAATAAATAGAAAGTTTTGCTATCTCCTGAATAAATTACTCTTTATAAGATACGAGTTTGAGAAAGTAAGGCATGTCAAAATAATGTAGCTATGTTTATAGTATAGTGGTTCATGTGATTCAATGAATAAAAAGAAACTTAAAATACTATTAATATGCTTACGTAACCTGCTTGTGAAAGATTTCGTCCAGGGAAGTATTGCCACCTTATGTCTCTATACCCCCAAGCCGCAATGTGAGCTCGTGGAATTAGAAAGAAAGAAAGAAGAAAGAAAATACATTTATTTGTTTACCACAATTACACCACAAAAGACAAAAGACAAAAAAGAGAAATCGGAACAAAACAGAACTAAAACAAAACACGATCAAAACATTCAACGTAAAACAAATATATAATTACGAAACAAAAACACAAACAAACACAAAATAAAAATGTATATACAAAAATTAGATAAAATTAAAACATGAACTATTCACACAAATAATAAAAAGAAGACTAAATATTGAGATACCTTGTGTGGTGCAAGCCGCGGTAACAAAAGGGTCACAAACTCAGTATTTGCTGGAAAACGCAACGCGTTCCCAGCACTGATTTTCAATTAAGACCCTAAGTGAGGTCACGGAACAACATATGCAAGCATACTTTGGTACTTGAATAGAACAGTAAAATAATTATATATACGTACATATTAAAACTAACAGATGTGTGTGTGTAAGTGTGGGTGTGTGTGTTGTGTATGTTTAAATACTTCCAAATAATTTATGTGTAACTATTATATATAAGTATTTAAAATAATTTAAAACAGAGAGTAGCTTAATGTCAGTACTAGCAGTATGGCGTCCGTGACGTTACTCCCCTATTACAGGCACATGGTACTTGTCAAACTTATGTCTCAGTGTGGCGGGCGTAATGGCAGTGCCCCTCAAGTCTTTGTATTGTATTGCAACTGTTATTGACAGGCGTATCGCTTATCACCAGGGGGCACTACTTGTTCGTCCAGTCACTAGGTGTCGTAAAAAAATTCAGACTGCCAGTTAACCAACGTTTCGAACCCTTTACAGGGGGCCTACCTCAACCTCTTAAAACAATATTACTTTAACCTTACATTGACTTTTCGTACCATAACGCGCTTAAAGTAAGCTTATTTGGAGTGTTAAAACTATGATGTTTTATTGGCAGCTTTGTGCCTATTCATTCACTCAGTTCGTACTATGGCGCGACTTTGACATTAAAGTAATATTGCTCTTATGTCAACTTTAGCAATCTTAAAATACTTACACGGATGCAATGGAAACAATATTATTTTCAGTTTTATTGCCTTAATATTGATTTGTAATGATTAAAAGTTAAGTTGAACTTATTTATTTACACATATCTCTTCAATATTTTGTTTATTTTTTATTTAATAGCACATAGGAAATAATTTCTCGTAAAACAAAAATACGCTATGTATATTTCGTAAAATTATGACAGCGCCATCTATATGCTCCTTGGCGAAACTAACAGTTGACACTAGACTATAGTTCCGAATTCACAACGTGACTATCAAGACTCAGCTTGTTTTATTTATTTTTCTTCATGAAAAT